AAGTGGGAATATAACTTAAAATGTGAACACTCCATAGATTGTGAAGTCCTTTGAAGAACCCTATTACACAAAGAAAGCAGTGGCACTTTAAACCTAAATTTCTATAATTAACAATAAAGGAACCCATTACAGTTAAAAACATTAATTTTCATAAATATAGATATTATAGTAATTAATTAAATGTGTGTGAAACAAAGTACAATCAAAAGTTTAATAAAGTCTTTCTTTACTTATTTACTGCCCTTAACCCATTCACTATGGCTGTTACAAATAAGAATTCTTGCTTTTAAAATTCCTGTGCAATGTGTTGGATCATAAATTTGTGTGGTAAGGTTGTCCATTGACATTCCCTTATATGTTACCAAACAGCAAGTCAATTATTTCTGCCTTCTAAGTGTCAGTTTCCCGCAAGATGTCAGTGAGGCTTGTACAACAACATCTCGTTGTCATGGCAGTAGGTACTGCCAGAGCTGAAAAAAATTTGGATTATTTTAGGGATTTAATAGACAGCATTGACTCAGAGCCGTAGTGAACAGAAAAAAAACATTTAGAGGTCACATCTGTACCAGCCACAGTGAATGGGTTAAACCAGTTATCAAATCTTTTTAATGGTTTGCTTTTCCATGGCATATGGTGAGGAGGTGGTATGATTGCTTTGCTTTATTGTCACTTACCGTCTTACCACTGAAAGAATTTCCTCCAAGTATATTCTTGAAGGATTTAACTGGTGGCTTCACTTCTGGTGATAAAGGTATCAGAACTTTTAATTTTCTTGTTTATTACTTACTAATTGAATTCCCATTTGCACATTGGTTTACTCATGATGTCTTTGTTTTTTCTGCCATGAGGTCCTCCTCTTTGGTAACACACAGTATTGAAGATACAGTGCTACATCCAATTCAAGTTACTGCTTAATTACGAATGATGTAACATTGAATTGAATCAAAATGCAGACAAAATAGAGCTGGAAGATTAGTGAGATATGCTAATTGATTAAGTGTTGTGCTTATTAATCAACTACTTTCAGTTAATTGATTGGTATCACAAGACTTGACTAATTGGAATGAATAAAAATAACCATAATTGGAAACATTAATTTGATGAATTGATTTTTTTTTGTCAGTCATGACACTAATCAGTTAAGTGAAAGAACCTCATTAATTAGAAATAACAGTGGCAATAATGAAAATAATAGTAATCAGAAACACTAAAATCTATTTGTGAATTATTTTCATGACATTATTTAATCATAATTTTGATTACTATATAGTTGGAATAATCAAAAACAGTAATAATTGGAAACACTGATTCTTTTGGGGCATTAATTGATTTCATTTTAATCCCTTCGACTTACTTTACTGTTACTCTCATGTTCCAGATAACAGTGCAGGGTGGAAAAATATCAATAATTTAATAATTACAGGGTGGAATAATTCAGACTTCAAATTAATTATTGTACAGGTTGAAATCATATTATAAAATTGATTATTTTATGTGACATCAGTCGATGTAATTGGTGATCATAGGTAATCAGTTATATTGGTTAATTGAGTTAATTACCTAGCTCTAAACCATATTACATCATTAATAGTGTTTAAGGTTAGAATTCTTGACCAGGTGCAGAGAGAGAGAGATGTTGCTAGTTTGATCCTTCCATTTTCAAGTTAATTTTTCCAAATGTGTCAGTCTGGCATTGATGTTATTTTGTACTTTGTTGATCTTGTTATAATCCTTGCATACTTCAGTAATGTTGTATAGCTTTTTTAACTTTTGTATGCACATTTCTGTCTTTCATCAAAATATGTTTAGGTTTGCAATTATTCTATAAATCGTATGTCTTATTTTTATAATTTTCTCTGAAATTCCTGTATTTTCTTCTAATTTTCTCTCTCTCTGTCTTCCTGATTTTTATTATATTTTGTGTTTCTTTCTTCTTATTCTTATTTGTACTGTTCATCATTTCCATAAAAGTTTTAATCTCATTTGAAGCTAGAATCATCATCTTGAAGTACATTCTGGATTCTGTTTGATTGTTACAAAAATAATCCAACTCCTGACATCAGTTTTATAAAGGTTTCCATTTTAAATTGTGTTTTCCAGCTTATTTATTAAGTCCATTTAAGGATAATGAAAGAGTTTTATTGCTTTGATCATAAGTTCTGCACTCAAACAGTCACTTTACTATATTCATCCTTATCTCTAGTACTTCATTCAAATACACTCAGAATTCACAAAACTATTTAAAACAAATTGACTAAGACACTTGTTAACTTAGTGATCAGTCAGTGACTGAATTAGATTTACTAATCAATCAGCAGTCTCCACTACCTACTGTTGTATAACTTGTGTTTTTATATTTTCAAATAATTTCTTCAGTTTTTTAGAAAATTCAAGACATTAAGCCACGAGCTCCTCACCTGACATTAACAGTTGTAAGAAAACAACAATATAATTGTCTAAATTAAAAAACATAACCTATAGTAATATAATGTTTTAAGGTTTGCTTACGTTGGTGGGTTATTTTAAATTATTTGGTGAAATTAACTCCAAAGTTTATTTTCTTTGATGTTTCCACAAATTTAAACATTGTGATAACTGATAGGCCATACTGACTGTACCACACTAATGCAAAAATAAACCCACTTGTACAACTTAATGGCTTATCAATTCAGTAACTAAAAACAAAATACTGACTGTTTCACCACGAGATAAAAATACTTTGATTCACTCTACTGATTAAAAATAACTAGTTCTTTGATGCTTCACTGAACCTATTATTTATCATCTACTTCTTGAATTTACTAGAAAGTCTTATGTCAATTTTATAACTTTCTAGACCTGTGTTATTACACTTTTTCATCTTAATGTCTTGTGCCCTCTAGATAACATCTAAATTACAACATAAAAAATATAACGTGCAACAGTAACATCCCCAATTAATAAAAAGGTTCATCTATGAGTCTACAACATGACACACAACACAGTTTGTTATCCTTAAAAGTTTGCTGTATTATTATGTAGCATGGAGATTCTAATCAATAAATTTTGTAACATTTCTCCTTCACAGCCATTACAGTGCTGAAATGCTATAAACTGGGTAAAAGAAAATTCACTAACTTTTAATGTTTTTCGTAACATTCTTTAGCCTGAACTGGTAAAAGAAATTCATTTTTTTTGTACCAGTGTCACCATAGAGAATTATTATAAAGTGATTGCACATTGATCATAATTTCATTTTGCATTGAAAACCATACACAATTTATCTAACATTTATATCTGTCATCTACATTAACACTGAACATAAAGACTGAAACAAGAAATCAGTAAAATTTTAAGGAGCATTCCACACTTGTGTTCGTGGGTTAAGAAAATCCATCATTTCACACAAAACTTAATAACTTGTTCATCATATATATATATATATATAATTTTTGCCAGAAAAATCAAGCATATAATTGTTTAGAGTTCTAGAAAAATATTATAGTTGAACTCCTCACATCTGCCTGTAAAACAACATGGAGACTTTCTTCATTACATTTGACTCCGAATATTTTTAACTTTGGAGGTTTTGTTGGGCTGATAATTTTGTACAAGTAATTAATGATAACATTGAAGTAAGATATTTGTAATTTTATTTATTCATCAATTGACTTTTACCTTCTTCATTTGTAGATTCTAATACTATTTGATGTATGAGACAATAAATAGCTTTTTTGTTTGTAGACCCCTCTTCTCATTTCTGTCATACAGTAGCTTGCTGATAATTTGGTTAATTTGATTAGCCTGTCTTAGTGTCATGCAAGAAATCCATGATAATAGTGATCAGTTGTAGTGTGTTCATTTGAGAATTATCTGTCATGCAGTCAAATTAAACCTACATAATTATTCAGGTAGAATACACCAAGTATTTTTGCTTATAAGGATGAAGTTGAACACATTAAGTCATGGGGAGTTGAAGGTACAAGACATTTGTACAAGACCATCTATGTGTGATTTTCAAGTAAAAAAAAAGTTGTGGTGTGAGAAGTAAGGGATGTTTTTTTAGAATTATTATTAAGTATGAAATGTCATATTTTATAAAAGAAGAATATTTTATTGAGGAATGTGTATGATAATTATGTCTCTAATAGCCAGCAGTTGATGAGATCCTGACTTTCTTTTAATATAAACTTAAGTTCCTTTAAAGAAAATATTCTGGATGAAAATATCTTTACACTGTAGGTAATTATGTGAAGGCTAAGGATAACTTGACAATTTTAATTCACAAGATAAAACTGCCCCAGTAATTATATTATACTTATTTTAAAATTAAATTACTACAAGAATAATCTGTTTTGGTCATCATTCATTGACTCTTTAATTATTAATATTTACATACATGCATTTTATTCAAATTTTCATTCTCATATTATTGAAAAAATAAAAGTAATACAGTAGTGTGAAAAAGCATTTTAAGTATGCAGTATAAAATAGTATTGAAACACCCTGTAGCACACACTAACTCAATAAAACTTGTCTCTCATTGTGTCTGTGGGAAAATTTTTGGTTTTTTAGAAGAAACAGTTTTTAAGATATGATCATTTTGAATTTGTGGTTTTCTTGGAAAACAAGACATAGCATAATGTAAGAAGTAAGAACTTTGTTTAGAAGTATTGATAAATTACAAAAATGTTAAAATTGACAGATCGCTATTAAATTTGTGTGTGTACTAGTAAACTAGTTTACATGAAATTTAACAAACTTGTAGTGCAAGAAATAAATGCACACAAGTGGATTAAACAGTTTTTAGCTCCGCTGTTTTAGTGCAATGATTTTAGATATTGATAATTTATAATAAGGCTTGATTGTTGAAAATTGATGTTGAGGATGAAAAATTAACTTAGATTAATCACTTGTGATCTTATGTATCCATAAATTCAGACTTAATAAAGGAATTGTATTATTTAAAATATAAAAACTCTGTTATATGAATTTAAGTTTTTGTTTGTGAAAATTTTCAGGTGAAACAGATGTGTAGTCTAGCTGGTATAAGACGATCACTGGCTACCATGACATCCACTTCTACCTCTCGGAAAAAGGGTACAATGTTAGCTCACCAAGAATCCTTACTTCAACTTCCAGTTCCTCCCTTACAGGCTTCTCTGGAAAAATATTTATTGTCTGTTCATCCCCTGTTGACAGAGGAAGAGTTCCATCAAACTGAAAAGGTTTGGAATGTTAATCTTATTAATAACTTTTTAGCAATATGAAGAGTTTGAACTTTGAAAATATTGCATTCGAGGATTTATTTTTCATGGGATTTTCTTTTATTCTGTTTTCAGGACCACATAAATAAATGTTAATATACCATATATATATATATATATATATAATATTGTTTATTCATAATAAAAAATGAAGATGAAAATTTTTACTTTTTTTACTTATCTACTTCAGTTACATTTGTTATGTACCATTTTGTTCCATCTTGTGGAGAGTTTAGAATTTGTTTTTTTCTCTCTACTCTTCTACTTAATTTTTGAGAGTTATGCACTTGCAGTTTCAAGTAGTGATGATTACAATTGATCAGGAAGAAGAGGATTTAGGCAGCCCTTTTTCCCCCTCCTTGACCCTCTCCCAATGGATCACGAGTCAGAGGCCGTGTTATCGTGTTTGTTGACTCGCATTCAAAATTTTATTGAACTACTATTTCATGAATTTATGTCAGTAAATTTGGAATTAAACTGTAGATTATAATTCAAAATTTTAGTATTATACATTATTTGATTTATTAATTTAAAAGTAAATATTAAAAAACAGTTAAACATCAATTTTTGTGTGTCACATGATATGTTGAATGCAGCACTGGTTCAAAATACTAAGTCTATAGTTTCGTGCAAATTAGGAACTCAAATTACCAATATTGACAAGCTAGAATATAA